TTAATGTTTTTCTTTCCGAATTTGTAAAAGAAGTTATTGATTTAACTAATAACGGAATTAAAATATTAGAACATGTTTACAAGTTTAAAATTAAAATGTTCTTATTTGATGCCATAGCGAAAGCTAGTATATTGAAAATTAAAAGTGTAACAGGTTATAGTTCATGCAGCAAATGTACTCAGAAAGGAGAATGTATGAAAGACAGAGTTTCTTTTCCTATGATTTCTTATATAAAAAGAACACATGATGATTTTAATATGCAGTGTGACCCAGATCATCACACTGGACGTACAGATTTGCTAGATATCCCTGGAATCAATATAATAGACGATGTGCCGCTTGATTATATGCATTTAATTTATTTAGGTGTAGTCAAAAAGTTTCTAGTTTCAACTTAATGTTATGGCCCGCCGCCACATAAATATTCATTCGCTCAAATAGAAATTATTTCAAATAAATTGAAAGACTTCACAAAATATATTCCAACAGAATTTGCTCGTCGGCCAAGAGGATTAAAAGATTGTAAAAGATGGAAAGCTACTGAGTTTCGACAGTTTTTGCTGTATACTGGCCCGATTGTTTTAAGGAAAATCTTATCAAAAGATAAATATGAACATTTTTTAACATTGCATGTAGCAATTATTATACTTGCTAGTGAAAAATATCATTTAAAATACAATAATTATGCAAGAGAATTACTTAAACATTTTGTTACAACTACTAAAGTTATTTATGGCTCTCATTTTTTGATACACAACATACATAATTTATTACATCTTGCTGATGATGTAGTCAGATTTGGGCTACTAGATAGCTTTAGCAACTTTTCAAGTGAAATCTATCTGTTTTTTTTATAAAGAATTTAGTTAGAAAACATAATAATGTTTTACCACAAATTATAAGGAGAGTAGCTGAAATAAATTCAAATACATTACAAATAAATAACATTAATTATTTAACAAAATTTACATTAAGCATGCCTCATTCTGATGGTATTTTGATCACTGATTGCACCGACCCACAATACAGAACTGTTCAATTTAAGGATTTTAAGTTATCTATAATATTACGAGATTCTACATGCTTATTAAAAGATGGTACAGTTGTAGAAATAGAAAATTTTGCCTTTTGCATAATTCTTAATGAGTATGTATTATTGGGGCGGCCATATAAACAAAAAACAGATTTTTATGATATTCCCTGTAAATCTTCTGTTTTAGATATTTGTTTAGTGAAAGAAATAAGAGAATTACGTTATTGGCCTCTTTCTATTATTAATAAACACAAAATTAATAAAACTTCCTTTTAAAGACCAGCATGTTGTATTTCCATTGTTGCATATAAATCAATATAAACTGTGTACAATATAAATAACTTCATTGAAAACAAACCTGCACATTTTTTATTTGGATTTTTGTGTACATATTACACCCTGATTAATAAAATTTCATTATTTGTATTATATATATAATATAATTTATGAAATTATTAAAATGTCTTTTTTACGTTGTGTTAAGATTTTGTATGATCATCATGGAGTGGACAGTTGTACGATTTTTGAGTGAAGATGAAGTTGAAGCAGTCCCATTGAAATGGATCATTGAAAACAAGAAATATTGCTATTTTCCTAGTTTAAGGGAAAATGTAAAGAAAGCAATAAAATACTGCTTCGATGTTGATCCCGCTTGGGAAAAATATGAAGTAAATGTGCTTAGCAGAAAATACTAAATTTGCAACGGCAACTGCCAAAGCATCAAAAGCTTGTTTTGTGTCTGATTTATCAGAATGTGATACTACAACTTCGTCTAAAGAAAGAAAACAAAAAAAAACCTTTCGTGACAACATTGATACAGAATCTGAATCTGAATCTGAATCTGAAAGAGAGACAGTACAGGATATACCACTACACCCTGATATCAATAACTTTAATGAAATTGATATTGCAACATGCCCTATTATCATAAGTATGTTTCACATAAATATATGCTTATATATTGTGATAAATGTTATTTACTGAAGATATTCTAGGTGAAGGTGCAGTAAATGTAACAGAAAATATACATGTCTCAGATGTTCAGAAAGAGATATTTGAAGTTAATAAAGGTACATTTTTGTGTTGATACTACATTGAAATGATTATTTACTATTATTTACTAATTACGGCTTAACACAATTAGAAACATTTTATTTATCAATTTGTATTTACATATGTATCGATTGTAAATGAAAATAGATTAAAGGAAAAGATCACTTTATCAACGAAACTTCGTGACGAGACATTGCAGGCTAAAGTAGAAAGATTACCTCGTATGTATAATATAAAACTTGAATTCAAATTTTGTAAACAATCATGCACAGACTTTATCATATGATATTAGTACAGCTTATATTTACAGGTGCAATTAAATACATTATTTATATTAATATTTCAGATAAACAACTGGAACAAGAGATACTGCGGTATTTAATTTCAAACACAATAAAATATTAAAGACACTCAAGAAGGATATGGATGAATACCAAACAAAATTGAATACTGTTATTAATAAAATAAGCAATATTGATACAAGTAGTAATACTATGAGAGTTCTAACTCAGGAACTCCGAGGGGAATGCGGGGCGCGGGGGATGAGTATCCCCC